CATCTCTGCGAATTTACTCAGTGCTATGAACAGGAGGCTAAGAGATCGACGCTCTATGTCGTCGCTCTCCGCCTCCTGCTCAAGCTCAGCAGCTGCCGTTGCCCGTGGCGAGAACGCGCTGCCCCTCCTTGCCTTCTTGCTCTCTCCTTGCACGCGAGTCCAGCGCTTGCTCTGCAGCCACTTCCCCAGCTTCTCCTTGAGCGCGTTGCGTCCCACTCCCTGCTCCTCTGGCATCTTCGCCCACTCTCCCAGCGCCATGAACTCCAGGCTCCCCGGAGAGTAGAACGTGTCGTGGAGGTTGCCAACGGCCTTGTCCAGGACCAGCTTGATCGGCTCGCTCGTCCCCGCCTCGTTCAAAGAAGCTGCATCTTCGATGACTGCTGACAGCTCGCTGACGAGCTGCATGTCCTCTTGGCTTGACGGAGATGCTGCCTCCATTGTGATCCTCTCCAGGTCTGTAAACTCCAGCCACTCTCCCTCGCTCTCCTCCTGTCGCTGCGCTGCGTCGCTGGTGCCCCGCTGACCAGCCGCCTCAGAGTCAGGCTCCTTGTCGAAGCCGACTGCTTCGAGCTTGGTTGCTGCGCCTTCGAGATAGAAGGGCAGCTCCTTCATCATGCGTCGAGCATCCTCCGTGGAGCCGAGGAGGATGCATAGCTTGGACCCGTTCCAGGACTTGGTGTTCAAATCCTCCTCCATGTCGATGCCTTCAACGTTGATCTCGAGCCTGTTAGCGATCTCCAACAAGACTCTCTTGACTCTTGCGATAGACGTGTTGCCGCCGTTGCACAGCCCCTCCATCTCCTTCCTCGTGAAGCGACCAGATGCCGCCGTCGACTTGATGATGATCTTGATCTCCTTGCCGTCCTTGCCGCCTGCCTTCTTCTGCATCCTTGATGCCTTCTTCAACTTATTTCTGGACACAAAGCGATCAGCTGTCAACTCGACTGCGAGCGCCTCTCTGATCTTCGGGTCCTCGCTGAACAGAGTCAGGTGTACTCCCTCCATCGCTTCGCTCTCTCGGAAAGCTCGAAATGCTGTATCATTCGCCTCTGGGCAGCTCGAGGAGACGATCCACTCCACCTCCCTCTGTCTCCAGATGACGTTGGCCCCTACAGCGATGAAGCCTTTCTGACCTAAGCCTTTGTGGACTTGCTGTCCTGGCGCCCCAGCGACCAGCATGCCTGCCAGCGGCTGGAGTTGGACCGCTGCAAGGGACTGGCGCAGCAGCTGATAGCGATAGACGGCAGCTATCTCAGCCGTTGTCATGCCGCCCAAAGGTTAACAAGTGGGTCAGCTCTGCCAAGCTGCCCCCTTTGCCCCAGGGTCCTCTTCTTGGCTCGAATCTTGAAAGATCGATCGTGCACGATGCTCACATGTACAGCTGTGAACTTGCGACCATCGATCGCGAAGTCCTCTCTTCCCTGCCAGAGCTTCTCCGCTTGTGCATTGCGGAGGAAGGAAACAGTCACCGGGATCTCCTCAGCACTCGCTATCTCGGGTCTATACGGAGCCTTCCACATGATTGCTTTACTCTCTTGCACTGAGTCTACGATCAGCCCGATCTCTTCAAATTTCTTCTTCAGCTTTTCTTCATGGTTGACATACACCGAGGAGATGCCCAGGAGAGTCATGGAGATGAAGGAAGTCACCTCGTTGCCTGCTGAGGCGGTGTATGTCTCGACCTTCTCCTTCTTGGCTTCTTCAATCTGCTGCATAAACCACTCTCTGGATGCGTCACTCCATCCAGTCATCGCTTCTTGCAGAAGCTCACGTCGTGCCTGCTGACATGTCGAGCGGATGGCTTCTGCGATAGCGTCGGGGCTGCATCCCTCCACAGCCTTGCAAGCCTGGGCTGTCCTGCTGTTCGGATAACGCTTCGCGAAGCTCTTCACCCTCTCGACGAGATCAGCTTCGAGGACAGAGGCATCCACAAGTCCGCTCTGCGTGTATTGGCATGATCTCCGATACAGCAGGTTGCGAACATTTTCATCATACTGAAGAACCATACTTAGAAAGCTATTTGAAGTATACAAACCTCTCGCTTGCAGCTTCCTTGGCGCCCTGGCAGCTTCCCCTACACCACGCGTGCAGCCATGGTGCCTGAAATAACCGGCGCTGGTGCCTGAAATAACCGGCGCTGGTGCCTGAAATAACCGGCGCTGGTGCCTGAAATAACCGGCGCTGGTGCCTGAAATAACCGGCGCTGGTGCCTGAAATAACCGGCGCTGGTGCCTGAAATAACCGGCGCTGGTGCCTGAAATATACGGCGCTGGTGCCTGAAATAACCGGCGCTGGTGCCTGAAATAACCGGCGCTGGTGCCTGAAATAACCGGCGCTGGTGCCTGAAATAACCGGCGCTGGTGCCTGAAATAACCGGCGCTGGTGCCTGAAATAACCGGCGCTGGTGCCTGAAATAACCGGCGCTGGTGCCTGAAATAACCGGCGCTGGTGCCTGAAATAACCGGCGCTGGTGCCTGAAATAACCGGCGCTGGTGCCTGAAATAACCGGCGCTGGTCCCAAACCCCTACCCTAAACCCTAAACCCTAAACCCTAACCCTAAACCCTAAACCCTAAACCCTAAACCCTAAACCCTAAACCCTAAACCCTAAACCCTAAACCCTAAACCCTAAACCCTAAACCCTAAACCCTAAACCCTAAACCCTAAACCCTAAACCCTAAACCCTAAACCCTAAACCCTAAACCCTAAACCCTAAACCCTAAACCCTTAACGCTCCCCATTTGATCTCAAAAGCTACCGCTTTTGCTGCGACAAGTTCGCCGCTTGAACCAAGTCGTCTTGAATCAGCAGACCGCCCGGCAACTCCTACCGTCGATGAGATGTTGGAAAAGATCGCCGACACAGTCCGTCAAGGCAAAGCCCGTTTCAAAACCGATGAGCAGCTACGTGTTCCTGATCGCCGATATCTCGCGTTCATTACACCGATTGGTCACTACCAATACAAGCGCCTACCATTTGGATTCATCACTGCCAGCAGCATATTCCAAGGATTCATCCAGCAGGTTCTCCATGATCTACCCCACACGTTTGCATACATCGACGACATCGTCATCGCTACGTATTCCACCTGGGAAGCTCATACAGATCACGTTCGCGCCGTGCTTCAACGCTGTCGCGAGCATCAGGTCTTCCTTAAGAGAGACTGAAAGCGCAATTCTTTCGCACTAGTGTTGACTTCTTAGGTCACCGTGTCTCCGCTGACGGCGTGACGACCCAACACTCCAAGACGGCGGCTATCTCCGCGTGGCCGCTACCGACCGTCCCGACTCAGAGACTAAAAGTTTCCTTAGCCTCAGCCTCACACGGTCACCTGGCAGGAGAGTTGCCGCTCGAGTCTCCTCCCCATGGCCTTCGGTCGCCACCCGGTGACCTAATCCTCCTCCCGGGCCATTCAGCTTCCGCTCAGGCCTTCGAGTCCCCCTCTAAATGAACCCTAAACCCTAAGGAGTCATGCTATCGGCTCAAGGAACCGGTCGGAAGTTCGGCCGCGCAGAAGTCAAACTTGAAGCTTATTACTGCAGTGAGGCCCACTGAGCAATTTTTTTCTTCTTCGAAGTTCCCGCCGGTGTCAGGCCCTCAAGAATCCTCCGTCACGAGTACCGGCATCCTGATAATGTCCTCGTACTGATCGGATTTTTGACTTAAAACTTTGAGTAAACACACTGAGACACACACTAGTACTAGCACTGCAACTGCCGAAGTTACGCGTAACTTCGAAGAAATCACTCAATACTACACTGCTACTACTGCGTCAACTCACGAGTGGTACCCGAGAATGATCTTTTCTTTTTTTGGGGTCCAAATACTGCATGTTGACTTGGAATGAATCTGTAAATATGTTGTAATGAATAAACATTTTGCTTATTCATTTCAAATTGACAGTGAATAATTGGTAAAATGACCTTACCAATTGAACAAAAGCATTAGGCGTACGGAATTGTCAGGGGGAGGGAGGAAGAAGCACAGAGCGTGAGGGAAGTGAGGTCAAAGATGGGTGAAAGAGGTAGCACAGCTCATTGTTGGGAAACAGCTAATGCTGGCATAGTGAAGGAAACGAAAGAGACAGTTAATGCTGGCATAGAGAAGGAAGCGAGCAATGTCTGATGCACACAGGAACATTTGTTGTGTTGGAATTCTAAAAACTTTTTGGGTTTAGGTAACCTGCTTGTCCGCTCCGGTTCGCCGAAACTGATGGCCGGTCCTTCAACGACTCTGGCATGTCTTGTATGTGCCCTCATGTGCTCATCACTTGTATCTGCAGCCTTAAACAACACTGTAGTTGATTATGGTTGTGATGGATGTCTCAAAGGGCAAACAATCACTGCTATGTACCTTGCAAACGATTACACTGTTAACGAGGCAGCCAAATTGAAAATGGAATCCTTGGGCCTGACTTATGATTGTAATGATCCCGTCAAAGCAGTGCCTGAATGCTTTCTGTATTCTAACTGGAACAAGGGAGTTGTGGGTGACCTAGCGAACAAGATCTTCTCAAAACTTGGCGCAAACGTGATAGTAAAGACAAAGGCAAACTTCACGGCACAGTCAAAGGCGCTTTATAATGGACCTTCCTCATTCACTCGATGTGTCTATGAGGTTGCCATAAAAAACGTGGATGTTTGCATTGGGAACTTCTGGGAGACCAATGAGAGAAGACGTCTCGCTACCTTCACATCAAGTGAGGAATGAAGTCTCTCTTCAATCGTCAACTGATCCATTATTGTAGGTTTTGATCTCGATGCAATGTTCTTGGTCTCCGCTCCCAAGAATGGAGTAGGATCCGACAGCTCGACTGATTTCAATCCTTCAGACCTGCTTGCCATTTTCAAGCCTTTCACTCCAGCAGTGTGGGGAGTGACAGTTGCATTCTTCTTTGCTACTGCAATATGCATGTGGATCCTCGAAGCCGGAGTTGACACTGTCAACGAGAACTTCTCTCATGAGAATGATCAGCTATGGAACATTTCTGGTTTCTTCATGAGCTTGTGGTTGTCGTTCATGGGATATGTCGGAGGCTCCCATGCACACATGGCAACAAGATGGCCGTCGCGGCTGATTCTGCTGGGTTACGGCTTCCTCCTTTACATCACGGTTTCTTCTTATACCGCCAACCTTGCGAGTTTCATGGTCAACAAGGCATCAGTTCCCTCGCTGATCAACAGCATCGCGGACGCTGGGAAGAAAGGAGTGAGCGTCTGCGTCCTAGATGCGATGGCCAGCTTGATCTACAACTTCGTGCCTAAGGTGAGGGCCGCTGCTGCTTCGTCACTCCTGATACGTTCTGTTCCTGCAGGAGCAAGTTATTGGATATGACGTGATTGGACCAGCGATCGAAGGAATCTACTCTGGAAAGTGTGGAGCCGTGATAATAGGAAGGGACTACTATAAGCAGTACATAGTGGCTGAGAAGATCAACTTCAATGTCTGCAAGGATCCTTCGGATCCTAAAGGATTCGAGAAATGTCAAGACCCTACAAAGAAATCCACCAAGATCTGGCTTGACTGCAAATGTAGCGATTCTACCAAAGATCCCTCGGAATGCAAGAAAGATTGTCCTGACTATAGGAAATACTGCGAGCTTCTCACTATTGCGGATGCAAATTTTCAAGTCTCTGTGCCAACTGGATTTCCAGTTGCTCGGGAGTTCGTTGATCATATTTCAGCATCTATTGTCAACTTTCGGCTTGACGGGACCATTGATCGTTTGTTCAAACTATACATCGACGACAATTTCCAGCCAGTTTGCACCTCAACCGCGGAGAGTGACTCGCTTGCTTTGGATCTTTTCAGTCTCGCAGGGACATACGTCATCTCAGGGGGCCTGATGGTCATCGGGCTGGTCATGGGAGTCATTGAGATTGTGATGAACAAGAAGAAGCAACCAAGCGAGGAGAGCGACAGCACGAGTCAGCGAGAAACAGAGGAGGATGTTCCCCTTGGAGTCGCAAAGAGAGCATTCGAGCTGGAGAAGGTCAAGCATGAGGAGCTCAAGGAGTTTGGACTTGTGGGCAGTGCCAATGATGAAAATGAGAGCGTACGACAACAAATTCAAGTGCTCAATTTCAAAATGTCGGAAGTGATTCATGAGCTCAGGGAGCTCAAGGTAAGTTTGTTTGAACCTTGTCCTTGCTTTTATGCCCTGGCTCGTTACAAACTGTCAAGCACTGACATTGATCTTTGAAGGCAAAATCGCCGAGGTATGGCTCAGCAGACGCCAGCCTTGTCCTCGCATCTGAAGCGAAAGAACGCAGCAAAGGTGCGCATCTCGGAAGAGAATCTGCATGATGTGCAGGTTCAAGATTGACATGATTCACAGAAACTACTGCAAGTAGGAACAATAAGGAATCTGGGTTCTTCGCAAACAATTGGTGGCCTATGTCGTCATAGATATTTTGCATTCTCACATCGTGATTGTCACAACGCTAAAAGATATTATGTTCCTGTATTGCTAAAAGAAGATTCATTCCCATATTGCTCAGGGATCTTCCATTCTCACTCACTTCATTGAAAGGCATCACATTCTCAGAGTTGACTGCTACAGTAATTGGTTGAGGATAAACAGGTTGGGTCAAGGGAAACTAAAGAAACGAACAACCGTCAGCAGATTAATACAAGGGTGACTAAGAGAAAGACGAGCTATGATAGGAACAATGAATACCGACGTAGGGTCGAAACAGAAGACGCCAGGCTCCGAGAATGCAGAGGAATGCTCCACAATGAGAAATGCAACACGATGCAACAGGCTGATGTATGCAGCAGCATCAATACGAGTCATCTAAGCGACGGACACCATCATCACGGCTACACTTCTCAAACTCTTTCAAGGCGCATCTATACGTATCGATGTAGTAAACAAAATTTGTAGTAACATGATGATACTCTAAGAACATACGAAGCGGGTAAGATCCTTTTTCTAAGAACATACGAAGCGGGTAAGATCCTTTTTCTAAGAACATACGAAGCGGGTAAGATCCTACTCTAAGAACATAAGAAGCGGGTAAGATCCTACTCTAAGAACATACGAAGCGGGCAAGATCCTACTCTAAGAACATAAGAAGCGGGTAAGATCCTACTCTAAGAACATACGAAGCGGGTAAGATCCTTTTTCTAAGAACATAAGAAGCGGGTAAGATCCTACTCTAAGAACATACGAAGCGGGTAAGATCCTACTCTAAGAACATACGAAGCGGGTAAGATCCTTTTTCTAAGAACATAAGAAGCGGGTAAGATCCTACTCTAAGAACATACGAAGCGGGCAAGATCCTACTCTAAGAACATAAGAAGCGGGTAAGATCCTACTCTAAGAACATACGAAGCGGGTAAGATCCTACTCTAAGAACATAAGAAGCGGGTAAGATCCTACTCTAAGAACATACGAAGCGGGTAAGATCCTACTCTAAGAACATACGAAGCGGGTAAGATCCTACTCTAAGAACATAGTCACTGTGATTGTTGCTGAACGAATAAGATAATAATACACGTATGTACCATATCTCATTGTCTCAATTGCAGAAGCATGAAGCATTTTGACAAGTTTAACAAGGAAGCAAGTCGCTGCTGCTATCTCTCTTACACGCTCACAGTTGACGGACTTTGAAGGTGGATGGGGAAGCAATGAACGAAAACAAGACCGAAGATCCGAGATATCAATATCCACCCAGGCGACCAGACTAACAGCAACAGGTCAGGACGAAAAGTGAACCGCCAGTTCAATACCTTCTCAACAAGCTGCCGAATTCTCAAGCTGCAAGCGAAAGAGACAGAGAGTAAGAAAAGGAGCGAGGCAGGAAAAGAGAGACAAGCAGACGCGAGGAGAGGAGAATGGGAAGGAAGGTGTGTGGATAACCAAAAGTACGAGAAGGGCGACGAGAAGGGCAATTTAAGGAGCAGGGAGCCGGGAGCAGGGATCGGGGAGACGGGAGCAGGGATCTATCAAGTGCAGAGTAAACCTGAAGTCTTCTCGCTGCATGAGCTGCTGAAGAGAAATACTGATATCAAGTCAGAACCATCAACGATGCGGAAACAGCAGCACCGAGATCTCCAGCGCCAATAATGCTGCGGGTTAGGCGGCCAGTTGATCTGATCCGCTCTGAAAGAAAACGAGTCAGAGAAGGAACGAGTGAACGTCTGAATCTCAGATAAGAATAAACGAAGCGACAATGAACGAAAATGAGGGGCTTTGAAGGGTGGAGAAACAAAGGGGGCGAGAAGCAAAGGGAGAGGAAAAAGTGGGTAAGGAATAAAGCAGGATGGAAGGAGAGAATCCAAGATGCCTTGGGTTTGGCGAAGCAAAATGATGATCCATAGCCAAGAAATCCTGAGCTGATTGTCAACCGACATGAACAAGAAAAGAAACAGACAGAAAGGCATGAGCATGAGCATGATGAGGAGTGGGTACAGAAAGGAGGAGAATGCGAAGAAGCAGACAAACAGCAGCATCAAAAGCCAAAGCCAAAGCAAAGCCGAAGCAGGAGCATACTCGGGAGCGAAAGAAGTAGGAGGAGCAGGAGCAGCAGTCGATGTAGGAGCAGGAACAGGAGCAGGAGCAGGAGCAGCAGTCGATGTAGGAGCAGGAGCAGGAGCAGGAACAGGAGCAGGCAGCATAGCAGCGATGGAGTACTGGCATGTTGAAGACATGCCTGAATAGGAAAGACGGCCCAGATTGAGGGAGACCACATATGCTGCTCGACGATCATGGAGATGATCTGATATCATAGGTCACAAGCTCGATCCTGCTTGTCTCACTCGCCTCTGTCGAGAACTTGTGAGGAGGATCTCCCGGGCGCTGCAGCAGAACATTCCAGAACTCCTGGAGAAACCTTGAGAGGTCTAGAACAAGAGCGATAGAAGAAAGCGCAAGGTTAGGAAAGGCGAGCCGAGGCGAGGCGAGAACAGGGGATGCATGGCAAAGAAAGAAAGATTAGGGTTTAGGATTCTGGTGTTGACCTTTCGAAGATGAGCTGGCATTTCTTCCCACCATCCGGCAACAGTTGACATGTCATGGCAGGATGGAGTGCAAACAGACAAATAAGGATATCTGAAGCACACGTCACCTTGAGACAACCCCTTCCTCTCCTTTCCCCTCTTTCCCTTTCCTTCCCCCCCCCCCCTCCCCTCCTCCTTCTATATGTTTAACAGTAGGATGGGGAGGTTTGGAAAGAGGAGATCAATGAAAGGAGACATTTTGATGACGGAGAGCCTTGGAAAATTAGCCGGTT